GCTCCCTGCCCGTGCCTGGGGGGGGGTCTGAAGTGGGGCTGGGTCCTGCTGCTGCCCTTGAACCCCTGTCCCTTGGCGAGCAAACACAGGAATTCCTCCCCTCGCCAGGGCCGGATCCTGCCCCGTGCTCCCCTTCCTCCTTCCTGTGCGCGCTGGGGACTCCTCGTCCAAACAAAGCCCTGATTAAAGGTGAGAAGCGTGGCACAGCTGAAACCCTTCCTGCCTGTTGGGATGCAGCCCCAGCCCAGCAGCACCCACGTGCCCCGAGGGACACCCCCTGGCTCCCAGGCACTGCTGGGTACAGGTCTGCAAAGGCAAAAGTGGAGAGAAAACAAAACCTGGCAGCGGGCACGATGCGATTCAGCATCACCAGAGCCTGGGGTGCTGGGTGCTGGGCAGGGTGCTGGGTGCTGGGCAGGGTGCTGGCCCCAGGAACACAGAGGAGGTGCTGGGTGAGACCCCTGACAGGGGAATCCTCCCTCCCAGTGCTGGGGGTGGGTCTCAGCCTCATCCTAACGTGGCTTTTGTATTTCGACAGAGTATTTGTTCAGTGCCAGACCTGGCTGCTCTGTTTGCTTCTCATCTTTGTCTTCTCTAATGATGTTTGCTGTACGCCCCTGGCCCGCTCCCTGTGCTGTGCTGGGGGTCTCCCTGTGGATCCCCCCACACCACACCACAGCCTCAGCCCTCCGTGGGGCTGGGGGACTCCCCAGTACCCCTGCTCCACCCTGGGGGGAAGCTACAGCAGGAGATGAGGGAGAAGCTGCAGCACAAACAGTGGCTTTCCAAACAGAGGAAATATCTTATTTTTTCCTGCATATCCCCCTCCTTCAGAAGAACCTTGGCCTTGGACCATCCCTCTCTGGCTCTTTTTAATCCCCTGCCATCCCTTTTGGTGGTGGAAAGGGAAAAAATAAAGAGCAGCAAAAAGGGAACCAGAAGGGCTGGGGGATGCCCCTCTGAGACTTCAACTCTGCCACTGGGTAACGCTGGGTCTGGGGGAGTCATAAAGAAAAAAAAAACCCAAATATTTATTCCTCTCAGCTAGTAATGGGGCAGGAAAAAGGCATTTTCTCCCACCACTATCTCATTCCACAGATGAGGAAACTGAGGCATGGAGCTGGGACCTGCAAGATGCTGACCTGGGAACAGCAGCAGCCGCACCAGGCTCTCTGCCCCAACCTCCCCATCGCTCCCCACCCTCTCCCCAAATCTGGGGGTGTCCCAGTGGGCGTGGCTGGGGCAGTGATGGTGCCCAGCGCTGCTCCCAGTGCTGCTCCCCTGCTTGCAGTGCTGCACGGTGCCGTCAGGGGCACTCCAGACTGTCACAGGGCCATGGCCAGCAGCAAAAACACAGCCCAGGCACCTCTGACCGCTCCTGTCCTGCTCCTTCCCACACCCCCCTCGGCATGCGGGGGTGCACGGGATGGGCCAGGGGCCACCCGGAGCACTTTGGAACCAAATTGCCTGTTATTCACCCAAATTTGCCCTGGAGAAGCCAGCCCCTGCTGCAGAGAGCTCCAATCTGCAGCAGCAACACACGGGGGCCCTGGGCTCCAGACTAACCGATTCCTCCTTAACCCTTTCAAAATGCACCATCTCCCTCACACCTCGCTTATTCTCATTTATTTTTGGTTTTAAGTGTAAAGTTTCCCTCTGACACTTCCCTTCTCACTGCCCTGAGCAGGAGGAAGCTGAGTCACAGTGAATACCTGCAGCAGGAAACAATAAACAATTCTCCCCTGGTTGGGGCAAGACCTGCTCCGTGTCACAGCCACCACCAGCTCTCCATTCATACATAACCAAGGGGGCAAATAGCCCTGGAATTCATGTGCTGTCCCAAGAAGCAGCCCCAAAATCCAGCCCAGGTCAGTGACAAATGGCTCCTCACTGCCAAAAAACCTTCAACACCTGCTGGTACAGCCCCTGAGCCAGGTGTGGGGAGCTGAGGGGTGCAGGCACCCAGTTGGGGTCTCGCAGTGGAGCCACGGGTGCCCCCTGCTTGCCCATGGTCCCCACAGAAAGCCCTGAGTTTCTACACTGCCCTATGCTACTGCATGGATACGTGCCCCCAGAGAGCAAGGAGGCATTTTAGGGGGTGGGAAAAATGTGGGATTTATCCACAAAATCATCTCCTGCCTCCTCTCAGCGCTGTGCAGCGCACCGGTCCTCTGGCAAAGGCACCCACAGGAGCTGGGGCATCTGCAGCGGGCAGCCCTGGCTGGGGTGAGGTGCTCTCGGGTGGGGTGGGCTGAGCCCCTTGGCACCCAGCAGGGCACCCAGCAGGGCTGCTCTCACCTTCCAGGTCGCCGTGTTCCTCCTGAAGTAGGCAAACATCCGTGTGAACCAGTTATAGATCTCGTTCAGCGTTAGCTGCCGGTCGGGGGTCTCCAGGATGGCCTGAGAATCCAGAAAGGGCACGAGAGCATCACTTGCCACGCCCATCCCGGGGGCAGAAATGGGGGTTCGGGGGGGTGTGGGGGCTCCCCCGGGGTGCACAGAGCAGGGGTGAGGTGCCCCATGGGCAGATTTCAGGGTGCAGGGAGCCGCTCACCTGCCGGATGAGCGAGGCGTACGTGAAGGGCGGCCGGACGTCGGCGTTCTTGTAAAACTCGTGGTTCTGTGCAAGTTCTGCAGGGGCAGCAAGAAATTAAAGAGGAGTGAGGGACGAAGGGATCCACTTTGGGACCTCGGGATCGCCCTGGAGGGTGCTGAGCCCCATCCCGCAGCTCACCTGAGGATATCGGGGTGCAGAACTTCTCCGAGTTTCTCCTGCGGATGGGCCCCACGTTGTGTAAAGTGGAAGAGCTGATGACGGAGGGGCCCTGCCGCAGGGGGGTGATGGGCGCCGTGGCCGAGGTGGGGGGATGAGGTAAGCCGTCGGGAAACGTGTCGGAAGTGCTCTTGGAGAGGGTGGCACTGGAGACCAGGTTCAGCTGCGGGGACAGGCGGGAGGGAGGACGGGCTGTTGGGCACCCACATGGGGAAGGCAGGGGCTGGGTGAGCCCTGGCTCGTGCCACAGAGCCCTACTGGGCTCGGCAGGGATGGGGATACAACCACGGGATGGGGATGCAAGCGTGGGACAGGATGGAGCCCTTGCAAGAATCATAAAAACTAAGGGGTTGGAAGGGACCTCGAAAGATCATCCAGTCCAACCCCCCTGCCAGAGCAGGGTCACCTAGAGTACATAAGCAGCACAACAGGCTGACACAGGCTGTGTTTCACTCCTGCACCAGCACAAGGGACCAGGCGATGTGTGTGCCGGAGCGTGGTCAGGGTATGTGCACCCCCTGGAGCTCACTCAGTCACCACGGTGACCATGCACAGGGCAAGGGGAAAGGAGAGGAGAGGGGGTGGCTGTGGGGATGTACATGGGCAGGAGGAGGACGCACGCTTACAGGTTGGCTGAAAGGCTTTGGCTCTGAAGGTCTCATGTGAAGATGGGCCATCATTGCTTGGAGACGCTCGCTCTCCTTTGCCAGCTGCAGGAGACAAGCAGCAGAAGGGAGATGGTCAGGAAGTGCTGGCATCGCTGCAGAGGTGCCCACAGCCTGGAGGAGCTGCCTGCTGAGCTCCGAGCCCTGGCTCTGGGCAGGCAGCATCCTCCAGTGTCCGGGCAGCAGCCACCTCCTGCCTGATGCCAAGCCCTTCTGAGAGTCCCAGCGGGACCATGGCTCTGTGGGAGGCTGTAGCTCCCATCGTGGGGGGCACAGGGGCCACTGCTGCTGCTGCTCTGTGTCTGCAACCAGTTAAAAGAAAAATCTATGGTGAAACAAAGTCACTTCTCACACCTTCACACTGCCATCCACCAGCACAGCCCCATCCCAGCCACCCACCACAGCCCTCGCTCTCCATTCTGGGCACTCTGGTGCCAGCTGGCCCCAGCCCCTCTCCCTCCTCCAGGCTCCACGGCCTCCTGCTCACAGAGCTCCCTGTCCATCACCCATCCACTCGTCCCTCCATCCCCTCGGACGCCCCACATCGCTCTAATTGCCCCCGGAGTGTGGAGCAGGGTGAAATATTCACTCT